GGTTTGAAAAGTGTCTGATTTTAAGTGAAAATGGTATAAATACATGCATACAGCCGTATCCATTGAAGCGCTTGTTGGCCCAATACCAACCGGAATCCGTCCAATAATGGTGCCGTGCAGAGTAAAGGATCCTCTCGTAGGGTTTTGGCCGTTTACTAACATTTTAACTAACGTTTTTTTTGTCATTTTCCCACTGTATAGCACCCGTGCAACTACTGTTATGCAAGTACCAATTTATACTGCCTTACGCGTTTCAATGATAATTTCGGGACGTTCTCAAGTTGCCAAGGTTCTGTATACAAGTTGAAGAGGTGGTGCATCCTAAATATGATGATAAACGTGTGACGTTCATCTACTCTCGCTCACCTTGACAGCCGCTATAAGACAGTGCGCTACCCCTTCCACTGAACACGTTGAGTAGAACTTCGGTCTTCATCTTCTTCTCCCTAGCGTTAGTCCGCGCGTCGCAGGGTCCGCTGTTCTTGTTAGACGTCGCCACTTGTTCCGATCCACTGCATCTTCTGCTGTGGCTTTCACTTCAGTGAGGTCCCTCTTGATGACGTCCCTCCATCTTTTCTTTGGGGCTCCTCGTGGTCGCTTGCCCTCTGCTTCGAATTCCAATGCCTTCCTTATTGGGTGGTCCTCAGGCCTTCTCAGCACGTGCCCATACCATCGCAGTCGCTGCTCTCGTGCCTTCAGCTGGATCGGAGCCGTCTGGGTGACCGTACTAACATCCTCGTTTCTGACACTGGTGAGAGAGTCCAGCCGAAGGCCCATCTCAGATCCTCAATCCAGCTGCGTGGAGCTGCCTCTCATGGTTCTGCAGATGGGCCAGCACTCGCTGCCGTATCTAGAGCAGTTGTAGGCCTACACGACCGGTAACCTGTGCCTTTGAGCGGTTCTCTCGAGCACCGCCCGTCTCACAGGATGCCAGTAGACTCTCCCTCCATTTCATCCAGGCTTGCGTTGTTGTTGGCTGCGGGTCTTCACCGCCTGGTCGACGCTGCCATCAGCTGTTAGGTCACTCCCCAGGTACTGGAGTCCTCGACTCTTTCGGATGCATCTCTGGTCCATGCACGCGGTCTGGTTCGTTACACGGTCTTTACAAAGGACTAAACAGCAACATATGGTTCTTCTTCATCGTTTCGAGTCGGATCCACTCGACACGCGAGTCACATCTGCCACCGCTGCACCGCTGCACTTGGTGTCTGGATTTTCTTTCCATGTCGTGTCCGCTTATCAGCGGCCGATGTCGTCAGCGTTAGGAGCGATGGGTTTTTTCAGTGGGCCCTCTATGAGTTTTTTGCAGTGACTCGCAGAGTCATCAGTAGAGGCACGGGCTGAGGGCTGATACCTTTGGGTGTGTGCCCCAAAGCTCGGAATTGTTACCTCCTTCGTCAAGCCAAGCTGAGTAGAACTTCGGTGTGTGTCGCAAAAGTAGCAGCACATATGAAGGATCGATTCGAAGGAAGAACACGAAGGTTTTGAACCTTTATTTGCAATACGTGATATAGCACCTTCAACCATTCAAATCAGTATCCAAAAAGATAGAATATAGTGATCCATCTACAAAACGCAAGCCTCAAATAGGAGGCTTTTGATAAGTATCACAGAGCAGCTGTAGAAAAACTACGACAAATCCTCGATAAATGTGAAAAAAAACTGTTATACATGGCCTGCACTGCATACATATGTTCACGATTTGACTGCTTACATTCTAACGCTTCTTAGACAAATACCTTTCCTGGATTCATTATGTTATTAGGATCAAGTGCCCGTTTGATATCCTTCATTACTTGCACACCAATCGAGCCGAACTCCTCCACGAGATATGGTATTTTGCCAATACCAATACCATGTTCGCCGGTACACGTTCCATGAACGGAAAGAGCTCGTCTGGATATACACTCATACAATGGAGTATCAATATACGTTTCATGGTACTCGCTGAGTTCGTTCGATGCGCGCACTTTCCCTGGACAAGGTACTCCGGTCCTCCACCACAGGGCATG